TACAAAAAGTAATACTGTGGAAATAAACAGGCTCACCATCACTTAAATCTATTTATTTTTCTATAAAGAATGCAAAGTTGAAAATACTGTCTCCTTGGTAAAAAAAAAACGCCTTCATCCCACGAATATTTCCGGAGAGGTCTCCAAACGTACTAAGGAGTACCAAATTAGAACTAACCGTTTAAGAGATACCGAAAAACTCCCGTGTTAGAGAACTTCGGCAAAGAAATACTTCAAACCAGAGCGTCCTACAACGAAAAATTTTAAATTTACATCAAAGGAACAACTAGAGAGCTAGAAAATGAGACTGCCTCACTAAATATTGGTCATGTATATGGCAATATTCCGATACAACCAAGTTTAAGCTCTTCAGTTTTTGGAACATCGCTGTCAAAATTATTATTGCTAACGCATTAACTCAAATTCAGCAGGTACCAGGATACGCCAAAGACTTATTCTACAAGGTTCATAATGAGTTAACTGATCACAAAAGAAGTCGAACACTTAAACGCCTCACTAAAGCATCATTCGAAATAGAATTCGTTAAAACCCTTCTTTGAAGAACCGTCGCAGACTTTTTTGGACTGCGCTTAAAGAATCACAGAAGTACAGCCACATAGTTACGAAAGACGTACGGGAAGTGTATATATTGGCCTGCACGCAGCTAATGACAATGTTTCAACAAACTTACGAAATCAAAAAGACTATTGTCACTCCGGTTAACTGCATAGGCAGTAGGATTTCAGGTGGAACATTTCGATCATGTCCATTGATACTCAAGGAAATTATTTTTAGTAAAGTCTGCAGCATGTCACTCAAGATGCTGATGTTTCGCGGAAGATAAATTCGCAGGTCGTCTGTATGCACCCAATGATAAAGAGATTTGTGTAGACATAAACGGCTGATGAATCCGATTCCTATTCGGTGTTGTCAACACTGATTTGCACAAATAAATCACTGAGCACTTGTTATAAAAACATGAAACATTCAAAACATTGGGAAAGAGTAAACCGGCTAGTGCTTCGAGGAAGAAAAAAGGGAGCAAAAAATTTATCTTTTCTTGGGATTGTAACGTTTAAACTGTAATTCTCCAGAGAAATTTAAAATATTTACTCTTTCTGCTTGTATGCTGTGATCTGTCGAAAGAGGACTTCAACTAAATCAGACAGAATGTTTTAAATCAAAACAAATTGTGATGTATAGTTTAAGTGGGTACTGGTAGGAATGCAAAGGAGCCACCACTTAATTCATGTCCTCCAATTACGTTAATGTAAGTTGTAAGCGTAAAAAGTTACCGTTAGGTTAAGGTAATCCCAAGCTCTACCTATTATAGGCATTGTGCCGACAGAGTTGAAACCAACGGAACTCACTGGACTCTCAACGTAGCAGTGTCACTGTAGCATTTAAATATTACGCTGCTATTAGATCCAAATTTGATTCACGGAACGAAAAGCTAAAGGTTTTTGGGTTTATTTCACATGTTTAAAGTCGAGT